CTCTCCCCCCTCTTTCTTCCTTCCTTCCTTCCTTCCTTCCTTCCTTCCTTCCTTCCTTCCTTCCTTCCTTCCTTCCTCCCACCCTTCATACTTTTCTAGGGCATATTGTCTTCCTCCACAACGGGCTTTGCTCCCTAGTAAGTTATAAAGCCAAGAGCAGGATCCCTGAGAACATAAGAGCAGTTGTGCTGGATAAGATCAACCATCCATCTCGTCTACTGTCTGTTTCACACAGTGGACAGACCAATGGTCCCAAGCAGTGTCTAGAGGGTAAGCCTCCCTGTGTTGTCTCTTCCCAGCACAGGCCTTCAGAGATCTACTGCCTCTGAACATAGATGTTCCATTAAACATGGCTGCCACTGATACCCATCCTTTAGGAATTTGCCTAATTCCCTTTTAAACCCATCTAAGTTATTGGCCATCACTAACTTAATTGTTTGTTGAATTGTGCCCTTTCCATGGCTGCCTGGCTATAGAATTAACAGACTGGAAAGAATATCCGCCCTGCTGCAAGGTGTAAAAGAGGCAGGAAGTAGACAAACTGTGGTTTATGCATAAACCAGGATTTATTGCAAATATCAAGCAAAGTACCCAGAGTTTGTTAAACAAATGCAGTAAATAAAAGAGCAGGATATAGGATTCAGTTACTTGGAAGGTAGTTTTCTGTGTGCTTCAGATAAATCAATTGATCCCTGCTATCAGGAAAGTGAGTGGATGCAGTAACTCTGGGGAAATCTTGTAATCTGTGTGGCCAAAAGGACTCTAACAAAGTATACAATATACTGTACAGAGTCACAAGAACCTCAGCAAGGATGTTAACCATTGTTCATTTGGCCGTGAGTGTGGCCTGATAAAACCTCCTCTAGCATGTTCCCAGAGGGTATCAGGTGAGAGAAATTGTAAACAGCAGGAAACTATGACTGCTGTGACTTCCCTTGGAATAGAAGGAGATGATCAGAGGTGCTAGATTAACTCAGCCCTCGAGGGGGGTCTCTAGGGTAGCCTCAGCCTCCACAAATTTTCTTCTCTGTTTTCCTCCCCCACCTTTTCCATGTGATTCCCCTGCTCTGTTTCAGAGTCCAGCTAGATCTGAGTCATCCTGAGGACAGGGACCATCTGTGTGGGATTCCACAACTCAATGTTTTCCAGACAGCCCCATTTAATGGGATCTTCAGATGGGCAGGGTGTGTAATCCTGGCAGTCTTCATCAGTCAGAGACAGGAGCATTAGCAATGTACAGTAATAGTAATTTTTTAAAAGGTAGAGCTCTTAAAGAAACAATGCAAAGCCAAGTGAGTTTGTGCATTTGTGTGCGTGAGAGAGAAAAACGAACACTGGGCCGTCCCCATGTAGCACCTGTACTGTTAGGGTAGTAAGTTGGTTCCAGACCCCACAGATTGTGTGGGGGAAGCAGGCAGTAAAGTAGTCTCAGGCACTGGATCTCACCCAAAGTCATACTGGTTCTGTGTTGACATTGCCGGGCAGTAAATGGTCAAGTTGAGCTGTTTCTGTATTCCAGAAATTGATAAAGGCTGCGGTCACACGGGCAATTTGTCATGACATACCAGCATTACCTGTGTGGATTTAAAAGGCTTGATCAGATGATATCTGCCTTCCATGGGCCAGTTGTGGGCAGTCCGTCCCGCTCCGCTTTAGAACCGGAGTAATCCGGCACCAGTGAAAGTCTGGTAGTAAGGGATGGGAGTGCTTCCACTCGGTTTTTTTCTGACATCTGAACTCTCCTCCAGTGAAAGGAACCCAGAAGGGACGTCTGAACTTGCAGATCCATTTCTAGCACTGGGGTTTTCTTTAGTTGCTGCCTATATGAGCATATGCACATGAGTGCATCTGCGCATCCATCTGTCTGCATTTAGATAAAACCCACCCTTACAGCTTGTCCTGTGGTTGAAGCACAACACTAATGTGGATGGTCCCCCACCAGACAGACTCACAGGAATAACCCACCACAGGGTGTGCGGTCTGGATGCAATACTCTGCTACACTTTAAGCTGGTGCAAAATGAGGTGCCGCTATCTCACTATCTCAGTGTGACCGCAGCCTAAGAGTTAGTTCTGGGTGGCTTGAAGTTTAGCGCTATGATCAGCTAGGGTAGCAGTTTTCAAAACTGTTTGCTTTCAAAGAATCTTTTCCACACTGACTTATTTGTCAAAGAATCCACATACACCTCTGCCACAAAACTCATGCACGTAACAGGAGTCTTGATGTGTTCTAGGGCATACTATAGATTCACATGGGATACACTATTGCACCTTAGGATACATCCCACACTCCCCTGAGGCACTGTTGGAGGGAGAACAAGTTGGAGGAAGGCTTCAAATGTTGCTCAGTGGAGTAGTAAGCTAGGAGTAAGATACACCTGCGTAGTGATGGACATACTTACTTCCAGAAGCAGCGTGTCTCCCATTACTTATCAACTCATTGAGGAACCTCTGATAAGCAGGGTTCTTTGGCACATAGCTCAGAGATTACTGATGCAGGATTTTAAAAAAGAATTGCAAATAGGAAGACAGTGTGAGTCAATACTTTATAGATCAGGTGCACAGTTGCCAGCTCCCAATCAACAATCCATTTCTACATACTCCATTTTTATCCCTCCCTTCCTCCAAGGAACTCAAGAGGGCTTTTGTTATATAATACACTATTGCAGGAAGATGTTTGACAAGATTGCCTTGTCCTGCGATAGTAGCAATCTGACTTGCTTCTTTCTGCTGAGATTTAGGACGGAGGTTGAAGCAGAGCAAAGCAACAGAGGTGAGAGTAGGAGCTGGGCAAGGAAAAGGTAAGAGGAGGCAAGCAACAGGGCTGAGCAAAACTTTCCCCAGCCAACCCAAACCAACTGTGATAATAGTATAGTTGCTTGCCTGCGAATTTTACATCCCTGTATAGCAGAGGTGAGGTGGCCAAGAACTAGTACTGCAGATCTGTTGTTCAGATTTAGAGCCACATAATCCTTTCCCATGAAGAATCATAGAATCATAGAATGTTAGAGTTGGAAGGGACCTGGTAGGTCATCTATTCCAACCCCCTGCACTCTGCAGAAGCATAGCCAAAAGGAGAAGAGACCATAGTCTCTAAATAGGTAGAATATTTCTTGGGTCCCGGTCACACGGAGGGGTTTGGATAGGGACGGATCGGGGGCACAGCAAACGGGCGCGATCTCACCGCAACATCTGAGAAACGGCGCGCACCCGTCCCCGATCCGTCCCTACCCCCGAAGCCCCGCTGCAAAAAAGAACCACCGACAGAGGTGGTCTTACCAGAAAGGCCGGGGCAAGCACGGCCATAGGGTCGCCGGCGCATCCTTCTGCCAGCCCATCCCCGGTTCCTGGCCGAACTGTGCATGCGCGCACAGCCGGCTGCCTCGGTCTCCCGACCGTGGCTCCCCCCCTGGCATCTGATCGTGCCAGGGAGCAACGGCGCCGCAGCTCAGGGGATCCGTGTGATCCCGCCGTCACGTGTCTATTTTGGTGCGGCTTCCAAAAGCCACACTTAGGCAGCGCATTCCCCCCCCCCCCGGTGTGGCGGGGGCCTTGATTTACCTATAGCAAGAGCTTTAGAGGAAGGGCAAAGAGTGGTGTATTTTTTTTCCAGAGAAAGCTGAGAGAACATCTGAAAAGTTTGGGAGCCATCTTCCCAGTTGCACTTCGACATTTGTCAAGCCCCTACTTCTGTTTCTCCATCTTCAAAATAAGAAGGTTTGGGAAGCTTTACAAATGTGTGTTTGCACAGCCCTTTGTAATTTCCTTTCAGTAGCTTGCTAGAGCCATGCAAGAGCCAGAAACATTATTGGCCCTTCAGGGTTTTGTTGCTTGGACAGATCTGAGATATTTGGGAGGTCTGAACTTAGCAGAGGATCAATTCTACAGGTGCTGTTTGTGTTTCTGGTTTGCACAGTGGCTCAGTCACAGAACGTAATGAGGGCTTGACCAGCAGCAAAAGTACTGCCAACACGCAGCCATCCCTGCTCTGAGCCACGTTCCCCTTTCCCACGAAGAAGTAGAAACAGGACAAGAAAAGAGGCCGGGCACAAACCCACAGCCCTCGCACACCAAACTAGCATCCCGGCCACTGGGTCAAGAGGAAGGGTTCAAAGGAGGCATATGCCAGCACGTATTAGGCACTCTGCTGCCACCCTGACATCACCACCAGCCACATGGAGTCTGGCATGGCTCAGCAGAGAGGTGACGGGATAGCATGGCCAGAGCTCTTGGATCAGTACCCATGTGGGGAGATGGGACAGGCAGGCAAAAGCCTCGGAGCTCATCTTTTGCCCCCACAAACTGAAAAGGGGTACCAGGACAGCCCAGCCGGGCTAGAACTGGTGACCAAGCAGAGTTGCAGGCATGGCACCAGTCAAGGTCCCAGGTCTCCCTGTTGGATCACCACCTGTACATATTCTAAACAGAGACATGGAGTGAGGGCAAACAGCACAGGTGCTGCGCCAGCCACAGCTATGCCCGTGGGGCTTTTCAGGGTCTGCAGTTCCACCCCCACAAGGGGGGAGGCTTCATTTGCCGGGGACTCCCCTGAGGTACATGCTGATCCCAGAAATCTGATCCCAGAAATCATCAGGGTCCTAAAGGACGTTCCATTTGAGGTTCGGCAGAAGAGAAAAGCATACAAAGAGCTTATCTCAACACTTCAGATCAACCAGATTCAATATAACCGTGGGGCTTTTCAGGGTCTGCAGTTCCACCCCCACGAGGGGGGAGGCTTCATTTGCCGGGGACTCCCCTGAGGTACATGCTGATCCCAGAAATCTGATCCCAGAAATCATCAGGGTCCTAAAGGACGTTCCATTTGAGGTTCGGCAGAAGAGAAAAGCATACAAAGAGCTTATCTCAACACTTCAGATCAACCAGATTCAATATAACTGGCTCTATCCCGAGGGCGTGCAGTTTAAGTACAAGGATAAGAGAGAAAAAATAGACTCAGTATTTAAAGCGGAAGAATGGTTGAAGCAGTTGTTTGGATCGAAAATGGAAGAAGAACCAGACGGAAGAGGCTCTGCAGAGAACCTGAAAGAGATGGACGGAGCCCCAGCAGGAGCAGAAGGAGGCACGGCCAGAGATACGTATGATCTGCGGCTAAGAGTACCCAAGTAACCCTTATGACTGAAAGATCTACAACTGACGTGGATGAAAGAGACTTTGTGCGCACTGAGAAGAAAATTTGAAAATTACTAAAATGGACTCACTAACTCCTAAATTCATTGACTCAATCGAAAAACTATAACTTTTATGACTAACTGTATACTAACTGTATAAGACCTTCCTTTCTTGGGCTTTTAGATATAGTGTGGGTCTTTTTATTTACTGTCTATACCCCGGGGTTTTATTATTTTAGTTTGTTAATTTTTTTCCCCTTTTCCCCTTTTCCCTCTTCCTTTTTCCCTTTTTCCCTTCCCCTTTTTTCTTTTTCCTCTTCCCCTTTTTCTCTTTCTATAACAATGTAGGTGAAACAAAAAAATCAATAAAATTTGATAAATAAAAAAACAAAAACAAATGACACTGATCCCCTGAGAAAGTGCTGCACAGATGCTCTATCTGCTGCCATTGCATAAAGCCCTGATCCTGCAAGGCAATGGTCCCCATGGTTGCTTGGCCTGCTGATCCACAGAGCATAGTAGGGCCGCTGCCGGGCACCCCAAACCCACTTGCCCCCTGTCTCCTGCCTGGGGGTAGGGGCACCCTGGCAAAGGAGTGTGGTAACAGCCTAGTACAAGGCTGCAGGCATCCCTGCTCCTCCCTCATCAGTTCCAGGTAAACGTCCCTGGTAGTATGCCCCACCATGGGGCATGGTGCTGGGAGGGCCTGCTTAGCTTCTGAGATCTGATGAGATCAGGCTAGCCTGCACCATCCAGGTCAGGGCAACCCTACCTGTGCAGGTATTTGAATCCTGGGCATGCCTAGGGGCTGCAAGCCATTGGGTAAGAACCAAAGGGGTCTTGGCCATTGGCTTTTAGCCTGAAGGTTGTAGTCTAGAGCTAACAGGAAGATTTCCTGGCAGAGAGAGAGAGGAAGAACTGTTCTGCATTTGAAAGTCTTCTTCCCCCTTCTCCTGTTTGTTTATTTTTCTATTACTGTATTCCATTTTTCTTGTGAACTACTTTGGGGAGTAGTTTAGGGAGTAATTTAGGGAGAAAGGCAGGATATAAAAATGAATAAATGAAATTTTCCAAAGTATCCCCGACAAGCTGTCCTGAGTGGAACAAAAAAACCCTCTGTGATGAGACCACGTTATAGCATATCACCAAGAGAGAGCAGGGGACAAACCAAGGTGGTCCAAACTTGAGATGCCTGTAAAACAGTCAGCTGATGTGGTAAGATAAACCCCAAAGACTTTAGCAGTGAGCTTAAGCACATGCAACAGAGAAAAAGATGCCCAGTCTTCTACTAAGTCATCAGCAAATCAGACCCATCTAGTCCCATGTATGTCAGTCGTTTGATACCTGAGCCAAAACTCAAAAACTTATGCCGTGTTTTCGTTTTTAACAGTCTCCAAAGCTTTGGTAGAAAAGGCATAAACAAAACAGAGCTAGCAAAATACTGGATGTATCAGATGCATAGATACCATCGTTATAGTCATCTGCATAATTGCCTTCTTATTAAACACTATCCAACCCTAGAATAAGATTTGTGGGAGAACCCCTGGGTTTGTTTTTTTTAAATTCCATTCCAGCTGGTTTGGCCATGTCATCCTTCCCGTTGTGCTTATCAGAGCCATCTCATAACTCCCAGCCCCATGATAAACATATAAGAAGGTGCACAAAAAAAGAGGTATTTGGTTTCCTGACGATATACAAACCTTGATGATGCCTCCCGCTACCCAGCTAGCGTGCTCTGCACAAGAGATGGAGGCGGTGGCAGCTTGTTTGAGGATTCACTCTGCCAGGTCGCTAATTGTTATTTAATCATATCAGTGTACTGCAAAAACGGCACCCTAGCGATGCAACCGCATAGTGGAATGAAGCCCAGCCGAACAGAGTTGAGTAGCTGCAGGTGCCAGGAGTGAGAGGTTGTGTTTCATCCTGTCTTGCAGTATACGCTACTTGTTTTCTGGGTGTTCCAGCTGTTGCTGCATGGCTGGGGGGGGGGAAGGGGGAGTGTATAACTTATGAGATCTGTTTTCATTCACAGACCTCACAGTCCAATCAGTCATCTGTTTGTTCTGGGCTGATGCCAGCTATTGTGTCAATTCCCACACCCACTATCCTTCACGCTGTCTTAGCCTGTAGCATCCTAGTTCCCTTCTCTCTTCTCTGCCTCTCTTCTGAAATATTCTAGAATGTCAGGCCTGTTCTACTGATGGTATGTTGTTATTTTATTTGTGCCCTCCCTTTTGCACCAGTGGCCAAAGCAGCCCAAGTTACAAGCTACTACTGTTATGACCACTCTAGGCACAATATTTATGGGTCATATCTGATACTCCACTGAATGGAAGGAAGATTCCACACACACACATACTCCTTGCTCTCAGATATTAACTGGGCTGTTTTTGCCCTATCCCCTCATATTTTCCAAGAGCCCTTCCTAATATAGAAGATATCCTAGGAATTGATTATTGGGTTTTACTAGGGCTGGAAGCTTAGCTGGTGCATTAGGTAGCTAAGCCTATAGTTGACTGATTGGTAGGGACCAGTTGGGCCCAGTGTTGTACTTTTGGAGGCTATTTGGACTCAGGGGTGTTGCAGCCCAAAAGAACAATAAGGGGAATATTTAAGAGGACCTTTTGGCTGCTGAATTCTCTTACGCTTCCTTCAGGATCTCAAAAAGGGGACTATAATAATCCATCACTTACAAAGGTTTTGGTAACATGGAAATTTATATAAAGATAATAGATGGAATTAATCACATCAAAGGTTATTAGTGTACTCAAAATCTTGTAACCAGTTGACAGCCTTATTACGTCTACCGTGTGTGTTTGG